CTAATATATATATATATATATATATATATTTATATATATATATATCTTTGTATATATAGTTATATATAATATATATGTATATATAAATATATGTATTACTAGAATGGATGTATCAAGTATATATAGTATCTACTATGTCTATACTTAATATATATATATATATATGTATATATATATATATGTATATATATGTATATATATATATATATATGTGTGTGTATATAATAATATAATGCGTATCTCTATGCAAACACAAGAAAGAGTTTTTCTATATAAACTTTTGATGTTGTCTTGGAGCAGCACTTCGCTGTCCCTCTCTAAGCAGTTTATTCTTTATTTTATTTGTCCACCACTTAGTAAGGGGGGCCCCCAGCCAATCAATGGGGGGCCCCCCTCCACGGACACCCCAGCGGGGGCCCCCTTCTTCTTCTGCTGCTGCTGCAGCAGCAGCAGCAGCAGCAACAGAAGGCCCCTAACCCTCACTCCCCTAATCAACCTGCCCCCCAAATCGAAGGCAACAACCCCACCACAGAGAGGCCCCCACAGGGGCCCCCAACAGGGGCCCCCAACAGGGGCCCCCAATAGGGGCCCCCAACAGGGGACCCCAATAGGGGCCCCGGAAAAGGGGGCCCCCAACAGGGGCCCCCAATAGGGGGCCCCTCCATAGGGGCCCCGAATAGGGGGGCCCCCCCGTAGGGGACCCCCAGCGGAGCCCCCCATAGGGCTTCGCCGCAGGAGTCCCTCAAAGGGGCCCCCAGACAGGGGCCCTCACGACAATGCATGCGACACCAGGGGGCAAAGGGGGCCCCCCAAAAAAAGCAGCTAGCGCTGCTACCAGGGGCCCCCTTTGCCTTATGGGGGCCCCCCTCGCCTTTGGGGGCCCTCCTTTTAGGGGCCCCCTTCGACTCTTGGTACCCGCCTTCAACCCCAAGGGCCCCCCTAATGGGGGCCCCCCACACGAAACCTTCTTTTAATGACCCCTCACTGGGGGGCCCTCATTAACTTGTGCATGCAATCTTGTCTTCTGGGGGCCCCTGTTGTCTTTTAAGGGGCCCCTAGTGCCTTTGGGGGGCCCCTCTTGTCTCCGTTGGGGGCCCCCTTACCCACTGCTGTCTCCTGTTGTATGCTGGGGGCCCCTCTTATCCGCTTTAAAGGTTTGAAGGTTGCTGAGGGCCCCTATTGCCTGATTTTAAGAGGCCCCCTATTGCTCTAAAGGGTTTAGGGTTTAGGGTTTAGAGTTGTTTAGGGTGCTTTTCTTTTTCTGCTGTTGTTTCTAGCTCTTAAAGCCTCAATACCCCCTTCAACAGTAGGCTGAAACTCATTAGGAAGCAGATGCTCTGCAACATCAAGCATATCTTTATAAATAGACCGGAGTGTATGCTCACCTGCCCCGGTAACAGAAGCAACCTCAGAGACCTTCGGAAGCAGCATTTGCTGCTGCGCACTTGAGCTGCTTAGCAGCTGAACTACTAACCATATTGCTGCTGCAGCAACAGAGTTCGGCCTATCATCAGTCGCAGCAGCATGCACAAACACTCCTGATGCTCTAAGGTCTAGGGTTTAGGGTTTAGGGTTTAGGGTTTGGTAAGATACACAGAAACCCCTGCTTCCTAGGGCTGTAAAGGGTTTAGAGGGTTTTAGAAGTATGTTTACAGGGTTAACTAGAATGGTTTAGGGTTTAGGGTTTAGGGTTTAAAGGATTTAGAAAGCCTATTATTAGGGTTTACGATTCAATGGGTTTAAAGGGTTTAAATGCTTTAAAAGGCTTGTTGTTAGGGTTTAGGGTTTAGGGTTTAGGGTTTAAAGGGTTTAGAAGGCCAATTATTAGGGTTTAGGGTTTAGGGTTTAGGGTGTATGTTAGTTTAGGGTTTAGGGTTTAGGGTTTAGGGTGTATATTACCTATGACTGCTGACGAAGACTTGCGCAGCTCTTTTAGCAACATGTTCAGCGACATCGCTGATGTGCATAGACAGCTGAAGTCTGCTGCAGTATCTGGGAAGCAAATGTGTTGCGTTTTCGGCATTGTTTGTCCCTCCTCTTAAAGGCAACTGTCTCTTTATTCTATTAATTGCTTTACCTAACTCTTTTTCAGTAATAGATCTATCATAAACAACTAATTCTTTTACTGTTCGCGTTGCGCCTGCTTCTCTGCATGCTAAATATGTTATTGCTAGCATAGACACCGCAGTGCTTCGAGACCTTAGCTGACCAGCATCCTGCAAATATAAACAAATCAACAAAACAACAAAATAATTATATTTAATTATAACTCTAATATATTATTACGCAAAAAAAGATACAAAGAAATACAAATAATAGATGAAAATGTCAAGAAAATAATTTTGTTTTATATTCTCTACCTTATAATAATATAAATTAAATAATATAAATAAATAAATTAAATTAAATAAATAAAAAGCAAAAGAAAGGGTTTTAAATGAGTATGCATACCGCTGAAGCAAAACAAACAAAGACGACAAAAAAAGAGTTGGTGAGGAGACAAAACAACAAAAGAAAAAAGATAAATAAATATAAATATATATATATATAAATATATGTATGCATGCATATAACAGATATGCATATATATATAAATATATATATAAATATATGTATGCATGCATATAACAGATATGCATATATATATACATTTAAATATATGTATGCATACATATAATAGATATATGCATATATAGATATATATATATATATATCTATATATATATACATATCTAGATAGATAGATAAATAATTTTTAATATATGCATGCACACAAACAATAATAAATAAATGCATGCATTAAGATATTGAGTGTATGTATGTAGAGAATCTCACCAGCAATTCTTTAGCAATTTCTTTGCCTCTCTCTAAGATATAATCTCTTAAGCTGAAGGCTTCAGCAATAAGACGTAAGTAAGAAAAAGCAGCTCTGAGCTGTCTGTCTCTATTTCCTGTCTCTCCTGCTGCAGCACTACCTGTAGCTGCTTCATGAAGAATCTGTAAACGTCTCCCTGAGCCTAAACCTTTACTCATTGACCCTCCTCCTATCAGCATGCTAGTAGATATACCCCCGTCTTGTAGCCAGCCGTCTAATGCCTCACCGACTCTATTTCTTTCGCTGCCTTTAGGTGCACCGCCCCCTGAGTTCTCAGCACTAAACGATCGCCACTCTTGTTCTTCATTTAATACTCTTTCTTCTAGAACAAATCCGCACTCTTTGCATAGTTGATCGCCGCTGCTGCTATCTAATACTATTGTACTTCCTTTCCTCATGCTGCTGCTGCTGCTGCTGCTGCTGCTGCTGCCGCTTGGTGTGCAAAAAGGGCAGCATAAATTACGTTTTGATGATAGATATAAACTAAAACGAGGCCGGTTTGCTGCTGCTGCTGCTGCAGTAGGAGCAGCAGCAGCAGCAATGCTGCTACCCATACCCAATCTGTTTGAAGAAACTCCTCCTCCTGCTGCTGTTGCTGCTGCTGGTCCTGCTGCTGCTGCTCCTTCACCTCCCGATACACCCCAAGAACCAGACCCCGTGCTGCCACTGTTGCTGCTGCTGCTGCTGCTGTTGCTGCTGTTGCTGTTGACAATAATACTGCTGCTGCTGTTGCTCAGCCTCAGGGGAGGAGCAGCACTGCTACCCCCAGGAGGAGACTGCACAGAGAAAGAGACACATGTTGTTGCTGCTGCTCCTGCTGCTGCTGCTGCTGCTGCTGGTGCTGCTCCTCCTAATGAGCCAGTGCGCTGCAGCTTCGCTGGGGGCAGCATTTTGAAGAGAATAGAGTTAAAGAAAAAGAAATAAGAAATAAAAAAGATAAACAACAAAGCAAAAGACAAACAGCAGAGACCGAAAATACTCGCATAAATAGCAAAGACGAGAGCAGCAACAAAGAAAGAAAAAACACCAGAGACGGCGACACTAACACAACACGCGTTCAAAAGCTGCTGCTGCTGCTGCTGTTGCTGCTGTTGCTGCTGCTGCTGCTGCTGCTGCTGAGAAGAAGAAGGTGAAGAAGAAGCTGATGATGCTGCTCCTTCAAGAAGGGCAGCTGCGGAGCGACCTGTCGATGCTGTTGAAAGCCCAGATAACCCGGCTCTGAGTGTTATAATTGCTGTAGCAGCTGCTGCTGCAGCTGCTGCTGCTGCTGCTGCTGCTTTGTTTGAAGTTGCTGCTCTTGCTCCCTCGGCTGCTGCCGGTTCTTGCAACTTATCTGCCCTGCTGCAGCTGCAGTGCAGCAGCAGACTTCTGCATATAAACGCTAATAAACTTCTTCTGTTTGCATGCGTTTTGCAGCAAATAGAAGAAAGAAAAGAAAGACGAAGGGGAGCTTCGCAAGAAAGCCCCGAAGAAACTGCATGCAAACAAACGGGTGATGCTGCTACCACCTCTTAATAGTGTTTTTTTCGCGGTATTATTATATTATAATTTCTGAAAATTAATTAAAACAAAAGAATATTCTCTTCATAGAAGAGGCTGCTTACTGCAGCCACTCAGGTGTACGTACACCGGAGGAAAGAAAAAAGTTTCTGAGGAGAGGGGGGTTATAATGAGTTTAATTTTTAAAGACATTGGAGTAAAAATTGCATTATTATTTGTTTAAAGTTTATTTATTTATTTATTTATTTGTTATTTTTGTTTGTTTTTATTTTCTTCTCCCCGAATTTCTGCTTTCTTTCGCGTCTTTCTTCCGTCGCTTGAGAGGGGGTTTCAGGTGTTGTATTCAAATTTTCTGCGTTTTTCTTCTTTCTTTTTCTGTCTATTTTATTTTTAATTGTATTTCATTGCTCTTCATCTGGATGGCGTCGGCTAGAAGCACAGGAGAGGCAGCTCCCTCCCTCCCAGCCCTGGAGGAGGTGCTGAGACTGCGAAAAATCTTATTGCGTGCGTTACCACCTGCTGCAGCAGCAGGAGCAGCAGCAGGATCTGCAGCAGGTACAGCAGCAGCAGCAGGAGGAGGAGGAGGAAGTGGAGGAGAAGAAGTGGATGTAGAGACTGTACTGCATGCGTTATCTGCTTTAAATACTATCAACGTAAACAGAAGTCTCTTAGCTAAATCTCGAATTGGTGTTGCAGTGGGCGCCCTACGCCGCCATAAACATGCAGAAATTCAAAACAAAAGTGCAGCATTAGTAAACAAGTGGAAGGCATGCATAGCTCATCAGACACCCCGTGGTGTACAGAAGACCAGCAGCAGCAGCACTCCAGGAGAAAGCGCAGCAAATGCCTCTCCTCCGCTTCCATCAGGAAGCACCACAAGCAGCAACAACAGCAACAACAGCAGCAGCAGCAGCAGCAGCAGCAGCAGCAGCAGCAAGGAGGAAGGCCCTCGGCCTCTACCTCCTTTCCCTGGGCCTACTTGCGGCGATCCTACTCGCGACAAAGCTCGTAGCTTTCTATGGAGGGCTTTAGTAGAGGGTTTAGATGCAGCAGCAGCAGCAACAGCAACCACAACAGCAGCAGCAGCAGCAGCAGCAGCAGGAAGTACAGCAACATCAGAAGAAACGGGCCGTCTTGCTGCATCAATTGAAGAAGCTCTCTGGCAGCGGTTTGTAGTTGAAAAGCAAAGTATGAGAGATTATAATACGCAATTAAAAACATTAAAGTGGAACCTAGCAGATCCTAAGAATCCTGATTTAAATTTAAAGGTATTATGGTGTATATACACCCCAGAACAACTAGCAGAGATGAGCAGTGCAGAGTTAGCAAGCGACGCAAAGAAACAAGAAAGAGAACAGCAAAAGCAGCAAAGTCTTGAGGCTTGTCAAAGCGACTGGGAAGTCAGAAGAATTATTAATAGCGGTGAGGCTAATAACGGTCAGTTCCCTTGCTTTAAATGCAAAACAAACAAAACTGTTTACTTCCAGATGCAAACGCGAAGCTCTGATGAGCCTATGACGACTTTCGTGACATGTTTAGAGTGCGGCAACAGATGGAAGTTCTAATTAAATATATTATATTATATTTATATTATATTTATATTATATTATATTATATTATATTATATTTATATTAATATTATTGTTTAATTTATTATATTGGGTTTTATAATATAATATATTGCGGATTTTGTGATATGTTTAGAGGGTGGTAATAGATGAATGTAATAATAAAATATATTATATATATTATATTATATATATTATATTATATTATATTATATTATATTATATTATATTATATTATATT